AAACCTTCCCTACACTCAGACTTTCAACTATAAAAACTAGGCATTTTGTAAGTTACCAAAAAAATATTTAGGATGACCTGGATTTAACTCGTTGCTTTCCTGAGCATAGTTTATAATACAAGGTAATCTTCAAAAATAGTCTTCCTGGTCCAGCTCTAATGATGCTAATTAGCATAATATTTTGGCTCAAAGGCCTCTTTAAAAGTTGGGTTGCATCTGAGAAGTGTTAATGTTGATAAGAAGCCCTCTCAATCTTTTCCAAAACACTTTTTGGTAGTTTTATACTCTATAGGGTCATGTTGCTCGGCATACAAATGGAAACTAGAAAGGCAGATTCTGAATTGTTTTTGTATAAATAATAAAATTTCATGTTTCTTGCTCCTTTGTCATACTTTCCATTGCAGAATAATAACAGTGCATCTTTATTTAGGTATCTACCGTTGGAGCATCGAATATTGGGTGTCGTTTGTACCCTTTTGGTTCCGGCTACAGAGAATCTATTCGCTACCTGAACGGTAGGATTTCCTAAGGAGCTGATCGAGATTCTATCCCGCAACAAATGACAAGGCTTGGTTTTTGAATGCGAGTAGATTGCACTGCAAAAGTTCGTCCTCATCAGATCTGGAATTCAGTTTAGACATCGTTTCTTTACCCTCCAATATCCCCAAGGGGAGTGAAACGATGTTGCAGTGAGCAACACGCTACCACCTGAGCTACACGATCTCAATTTGTTTGAATCGCACCGCTTGCATGGCTTACGAATCTAACAGTATCCATATTTACACGCACATACATATATTTACAAACAAGGTAACTAAAAGTATATAATTAGAAATATATCAACACTTATGGAGGAAGTATGGAGCCCATTTATGTCGTGGTCTGTTTCCTGCTTTTGTGTAAATGCTTTGGAGATGGGAATAATGATGATATGAAAATGTGACAAGCCACGATAGATCATGTAGCATTCAAAGTTCGATGTGGCACAGTCGGCATCCCAAAGAGCCATTCTTAAAGTACACAGTATTCTACTTCATACCTGGACAGAATTCACAAGAATATGAGAATTCAATCTGACAGACAGCATATCCACATTATTGATGGTATTCCAACCTTATCCAGGGACAATCGCATATGAACTGTATCCCATATGCGTGTGTGGGTTTCCTATACACGTCTCTATCTAACCTATTACCTTCTTTGCTCACGAAAACACCAAAAAATAAATTTACGGGAACTTCACATCAAAGCGTAAGATTAGGGAGTCGATAGAAATTAACAAAACAGCCAACGTCCTGAATAGGAGGAACGAGTCTAGCTTGGAGTATCACATTTCCCATGAAATGAACATTACATACATAAAATAGACAATGGTACAAGTCCAAAATAATTAAACTTTATAGGATCATGCACCAGTTTATTTGGGTAAGGAAGCAGCTGCCACCGAACGCACTTCTGTTTTAGGAAGTAACTTCACTCATTTGCAAGCATGTAAAGTGGGGTTGAAGCAGCCAACCAAATCATGGGATGCCTGATTAAGATCGCGAGGTTGGGTGTATAAAAAAGCGACTAGTTTTGCAACTGGCCACCTTTTCTCTTGGTTTAGCATATTTTTGCTCTATTTCGTAAAGTATGAATTATTGCTCTTATGCTGTCTGCCACAGTACAGACGAATGCTAAGCACAGCTACATGGCGGTCGCAGTACGCTGAACCGAGGTCTACTTCGCACAATACAATATTCTTCCCAAAGAAAGTAGGGCGAATTTTATATGATAGCTATTTTCAAAAAGAAATTTAGGAAATAATCCGAAACTCTAAAAAAATAAGCAACTATATTTGATAAACCATGGTATTTGTCAATTTCTAGACTGAATATGACTGGAAGCCTACGTTCAATGAGGACAGATGAGCTGGAAATAATTGTGCGCGATATTCTTCTGCCAGAGATCGGTTCAATTATGTCCCCTGTCACGAGACACGTGTACTCTCCGGAGTCCATGTGACTTGCCCTTCGAATAATCAGATGTGCCAAGCCAGTCTCCTCAATGTAGGACGTCTCTGTTTTCTCCGAGGTCACCAAATCCTGTCCGTTCAACTGCCAGGCCACCGTAACGGGCTTCAAATCAGAGTAAATTTGGGCTTCGAGGCTACAAAAAAGGAGAACAATGAGAGATATTCACTAAAATCGTACCTAATTCAAAATTATCTTGGGGTTTATGATAAGAACCCCTAACTAAAGACAATATTTTTGGACCTTTTCGTTTGTTTAAAATACCAGGGGAAAAAAGTTCCTAACTCTGCTTCATCAGAATTCGAAGGAGAAGTGTTTTGCAATTGTAACCGGATTTGAGTGAAAAGGTCCATGTTGTATCTTCTCTGAACTTGAAGCCATTATTTTTGATACTTAAAAAAGCAAACTAAAGAGCGCGAAGACCCTCCTAGCATTATTACTTTGTAGATTTTCTTAATAAATGAATTCACGCTCACAGTTTCAGTGACGAAGGAAAATACAAGAGCTTAGCATGGATTTGTCGGGGTTGTAGGATGGTACGTCAAGGGCTTATTCACCCAAATCAACACTCAAAACTACATGGTATTCCATCCTCGACTTCTGTAAAAGCTGATTTGCAAATTCTTTCCATCTGTTTTTCCAAATGAAAGAAATCGACAGCATGGGCCGCTCATCTCTACGCGCTGCGTTTGGGAATGTACAAATCGACAGTTAGACGTTGGCAATTATGACACATATTATAGCAGAGGACTTCGGACATGGTGCGTCCAACTAGGTCGCCTTGACAACAGGATCAAGTTGCGACAACGAGGTCAGACCGTTTCTATGCCTAGATATAAATGAAAAAGATGGTTTTTTCCCTTCTGTTTTAGCTCTTTACTCTTCGCAGCCAGCCAAGTTACTTGAGACCTAAAAGCCTTGGCTTAAGAGAATGCCAGGTAGCCTAGGCCTTATGATTTTATGTATGTTATCAAATATTGCCAGATTGTTGTCTCCGATGCCAGGGAAAGCACAATCTCCCAAAAACTTAAAATATTTGGATAATGAGTATATAGGATAAAGGCAGAATGTCATATGAGACCGAAATTTGCTGTGCCAAATGCAATAGACGGCCTCAATCTGTGTAGCAGAAAATCAGTAGTGATCTAGAAAGGTGGTATATTAATGGCCTAGCATAAGATGGTAATGGGAAGCTATGATTGCAGCAAAATCTTCATTTAATGGTTGGCTAGCTCGTATTCATAACATTTCCTGTCATCTTAGGCCG